TATATATACACATCTCTCAATCAACATTGGATTACATTGCATTATATGTTTGGATCATGTATATATATATATATACAGTATATATTATATTTTTATTGGGTCGTTTCATCACTTGAGATCTTGAAAATCATTAGCTTTTAATTAATTTTCTTCCAGGCAGTATAATGGTTTACTTAGGTTATGTTAGGGAAAATAGCTAAATGTATGATTGACTCTGATCATAAGTTGCACTTTAAAATATTTATATTAATAAAGTTTTATAATCAATTAGGCGGGATGTTTTTGTAGTACTGGCATACAAAGGCAAAAACAGTAAATAGAAATTTTACAATATTTAAAAAAATCTTACTATAAAATACTTTTATATTCCTCTATTTTTAACTTTAAAGCCAAAGGAGACTAGGTTGTTTTCTGACCTTATTTAATAAATTAAATAAAATTGTGCTTGATATGGCAAGGAAGAAAATAAAAGAAAAATACTGGAGGGAAGAAAATAGCTAAATTAATTATTTTATTTAATTTCTGAAAACTTCCAACTGCAGTGTACTTTTCATACAATTTGCATCTAAGTATAAAAAGACTTTAAAATAAAATATTTAAAATAGACAGTCCTCTTCCAGGCAAGCTGACCTACTGTAAATATTAATGACTCATTATGCACTACACAGATTTTTGTCCAATCAGATGCTCTGTAGGATGAGAATGTCCCGCCCCCTGCAACTCTCTAATAGCGAATCACTGTTCATGACTGTGACTGTATTGCGACAGATATATTTCACTTTATTCTCAGCTGATTGGTCTAGTTTCGGTTACCCTAAAACTAGGGATACACCGATACCGATACTGGTATCGGTATCGGGCCCGATACTGGTCTCCTGTTCTCGTACTCGTTAAAATGCCCCGATACCAAACACCGATACCACACAGCATGTGATAAGCGCCATATTCAAACAAAGAAACACCGACAACAGAATAACAGACAGCAGAAAGGAGTTAAGGATGTCTACTACGAAGTATATGTATGCAGTGAATATAATGTTAAACATTCAGTATTAACGCCTGTATAGCTGATGTGCGCGAGCTGATAAACGAAGCACGCTGAGTGGATTGAGATGATGTACCATAGGACAAAAAAATTAACAGTGAAAGTAACAAAAACTTGTAAAATACATTTTAATGGGCACAATTAAGTGTGAAAATAACCGAAGGATATGCAGTGAAACCAAACATGATTCAGAGACCAGATATAATTTTTGATATTTTTTTACTAGTGGGTGCAGGACACTATAGTTCATTTATGTAAGTGAGGATAGCAAAATAAAGTAAACTGTGACAAATCATACCCAAAAATTCTTCATACAGTGGACTACCAGTAAAATGTATACAAATTTGGGTCAAATTTTTGGTTGAATGTAATCTATTACATATCAAAATTATCTAACATTATCAAGATGAATTTGTTCTTGTCATATTTTATTACCATTTTCTAAACTATAGCGAATAAACTGTGATAATGTGAGAAATGTTGAAGGTGTCTGAATAAATTTTGGTTTGACTGTATCTATTTGATAAATGAAGTTAACCAACTAACATTATACATACCCTTTTGGTTTCTGTAC